ATCACCAAAAACTTTCTAGTAGTTGTATTTTGTGTCTCTGTTTAGCTAACTATACCTATTACCAAGTGTTTTATGCAAAATATTTTATAAAAGTTTTTCCTTTTTCTAATTTGTTTTGTATGTGTATATACTTGTTTGAATCATATTTTTATGTAAATTTGTTAATATTTCTTAAAATATAGCCAATATGTTTTTGTGCATCGGCTACCTTGATAAACATGCAAAACATAGGATTATGTAGCTTCTAAAATACAAGCACCTGTTATGAACTTGAGATGTAAATAGCTCAAAAGTTGTAAACATGCTTATGTAAAACATAATTTGTAAAACACAGATGGCACTTATTTACTGAGAACGTGAGGACATTGATGAGAATGAAGTCATCTTGTACCAATAAAATAGGTATGTCAAAAAATTGTTCTGCTTCCCAGTTAGCCTGGACACATGGCCTGCCTCAGTGGCAGCCAGTGAATAACTTGCAGGCTGTCCCTGAATACATGGAGCTGCTGTGAACCACGCATCTCCCTCCTACCTGCCATGCAGATTGGCATATAAATGGGAGCACAGGCAGAGAAGGAGACTGGGCAGTCCAGAGATGAGGTGCTTCATGCTTGCCACCCCTGTCATCTGCTAACTCACAGTGCCATTTATTTTAGCTTGTCGAGTGTGTGCAGTTGGGCTCTCAGTGGCTGCTTTTATCATGGCAGACTTCTGCTCTATGACATCCTTGAACTCCATCCTTACTGTAACCTGAGCCTAGCACTCAGATTCAGCACCACATTATCCATTGCCCAGCAGTTGTCACATCTGCTATAAAGGAAGTGTTGATCCAACCCAACCCAGGAAGTGCCACCAAGAGTAAAAGGTCTCCAGAGATAGGGGTAAACCTTTTAAGCTATTTACATTAGCAGTTGCTCTGGAACTTAAATCAGAAGTGATTTTTGCTGCTTAAAAGAGAAATTCTTCCATTTCTTCATATGCTTGGATGTACACACTCTCCCTTCTTTTCTGTCCTTTCTTTTCTTTTTCTCCCTCTCCTCTGCCCCACATATACAAAAACACATATCCACACACTTACCATTCTATATCCTGAATATCTAATTTTACCTTTAAGTAGTGTATCTACTGTTCTCCATTTGTGATTAAGACACTGTTAGGAAAATAAGAACAGTCCATTCTCACCGCTCGGATTGTACTGGAAGACGGATGGTCTCTGAAGTCTCAGCAGTATAGTCTAAGGTGAGGGACATTAATCTGCTGTCGTATACATAATAGGTGAAAGTGACTGTCACATAATCATGTTCAAAGAACACAGTGAACTCTGGAGCAGTTTCCCAAGGGGATCCCACTAGCCACTGCATGTTTTCCAGTGATCAAAAATGAGCATGATAATATAATATTTTTACTCACTTGGTACAAATGGCAAATACCAGAGATTTGTATGCAATGTCCAAGTCTGTAACTTTTTTTTTTTTGTCTTTTTCGTTTTTATTGGTATCAGGGATCAAACTCACGACTGCCTGCTTGCAAGGCAGGCGCTTATGCTGCTGAGCTAAATCCCCAGCCCCGCAAGTCTGTAACTTTAAATACTAGAAATTTCTTGTCACTTCTCATGTCTGACAATTTCAAACCTGGATCACACCATTGTATGTATTACAGAAAATGAAAACATTATCTTTATGTTATAAATGCTAATTAATTAGGTTTGAAAATTTGAGACCAAAGGTGATTTTTGAAGTTTGTTTTTATTTATTTGGAAGGGAGTCCTACTTTGCTTTTTGTTAACATATTCATAAGGCCAGAGTCGCCTTATGTGACCTTATTTCTGTGGGACAGCCCAGTACAGCTTCATATCCAAATGATGTGTGCTTTGTGTCAGTCTCGTTTCTCCTCTTTTGCCCATTTATACTCAAGCGGAGGCTCACCCTTGCAAACCGCTTGCCCACTTTTGTTTGGTAGTGTTCTCTCCTAAGGAGGCCGTGTGAAATCTCCCTGTATTCTGTGAGTGCCAGAACTCCTTCTTCTCATGCTTCTGCCTTTGATTCTCCTCCTTAGAGGAGCATCTCCTTCCTCTGTGTGAAATGATGCTGAGAGGCTGGGGCTCACTGTATCAGTGTGTAAATTCAGGCACCCTGTGTTGGGTCTGAAAAGACATCCTGCACATAAATCACCTTTTCCAGCTCCCATCTTTACAGCAAACTGAGTCTGGATTCCAGCCGCTGACTTTGAAGTCTGTAATCATTGTATAGAGCCCGCTCAGTAAACACTGCTTGAGAAGAAAACAGGTCTGCATTCGCTCCTGTGACATTCACTGACTAGAGCATTCTTGTGTGAGAAATGAGGGTTTTTCTTCAAGATGCTTAACATATTCCCTTGAACGGCAATAAGAATTTCACTGTAGCTTCTCTGAGACTTGATTATTTTAAAACTGTGCTCCCAGTTTTTGGAAAAACGGGGTAAGTTATGTGGCATTCTCACTGACTGGTTTCTCTTTGTCGCCACTTTCAGGTTAAATGTAGGTAACTTTCCTTGCCTTTCGTATCATGATTTTCCCTGCACTGCCAACCTCAGGTCAGCTCTGGCCCCACTGTCACCCTCTGTACCTCCCAGCCAGTCTCTTGCTCCGGAAACTTGTGATGGGAGCCCTTGAAATACATGCCTGGTTCCCTTTTCTGCATGAAAGAGCAGTAAAGCTCCCTGTGAAATAGCGACGGGAACATACATAGTAGCAAAGGCTCTTGCTCCTGCAGGCACCTTGCTCAGGGGACTATTTTTCTTATAAGATATAAATGAAATCTTCACTCTGCCCACTTTTACACCTACGCATGTACTGAGCGTCTCCAAGGCGACGAAGAAGCCGGAGTCCAGCGCTGGTGAATCCTGCTCCGAGACAGCAGGCTGGAGTCTCGGCGGCTCCCCCAGGCGCCTTGTGTCCCAGATGCCACTCTGAGCCGACCCCTCCCCCGCCTCTCCCTTCCCAAGTAGTCTACTCTTACCTTACATGTGACCCAAGCTGGTTATCCCGAGTCCTGTAGGCAGAAGGCTTCCCTGAAACAGGAGTGTGTAACAGGGCGTGACACAAGCAGACTTGCTGCAGCCTTGTCTTTGTCACTTCTCTGTGCTTCCGTTCTTGGCCTTCTTTGTGCATCGAAGATGCAGAGGCACCACTCAACTTTACAAAGTGCCATCAAAACCCTTCAGTACACTAGTGCAAAGAGCCTCCTTCAGTGAGCTTCTACCCTCGCCTGATGCAATACATATAACTCAGGAGCACAAACCCACTTGGACACTCCTTGTTCAGTACACAGTCCCACCCCCATCTGATCCATCTCTCACTCTGCCATTGTCACTGTAATTTCTTGTAGTGTATGCATCATTTTCTTTAAATGCTTTTGGGAGCAATGCATGGCCACCCTTAGGTCTTGTACTTACTTTGGAAGCCTATAGTATCAGATTCTTTGAGGTATCTGTGTGTCTCTTCTTTGAGGCACCAATAATTATTTGCTAAAAGAAATTATTATTGATGTGATCACCAAGAAACTTCATTTTGTCCTCTATACTCTTAAGCACTTAATGAGCATATTCTCAGCCTTTTTTTCCACCTGCTCCTGTTTTTTTTTTTTAGACAGATTATTACTGTGTAGCACAGGCTGACTTTAAACTTGATATTCTTCTGCCCTAGCCTCCTGAGTATTAGAATTATGTCCTTGGCAACATAACTGGCTCAGCATCTCTTTCTCAGGTACTCTACCACACAGCTACATACCAGCCTGTTTTTTAAAATTTTGAGACAGAGTCTTACTAAGTTACCCAGGCTGGTCTTGAACTTGAGATTCTTTTGTGTCATCCTGCCAGGTAGTTGAGGTTACAGTCAACATCTTTTTGGCTCTCAGCTGAATCGGCATAGAAAGCTTAACTTTTCATGTGTTTTTATGACATAGGTTCTACACACCTCAGTTTTCTACTGTTGATCCTGCTGCTGGCTTTGGAAAACTATGGCCTGACATTATTCATAATTCTTTGGCCATGTATATCTTCATCCGTGTTTATTGACACACGCACACACACACCCGATTTTTTACTTGAACTTTTAAAGTGACCCTGTGTGCAACATTTTGGAGGAGTGTCCTGTTTTCCATTTGCCTTATCCCAGTTCATTACCAACTCCCCAACCTTAAAATAGAAACCATCCCATTTTATAAGCCAAAAAGAATAGTGTAGATAGAATCAATTTTGTTCACAGGTCCAAAATGAAACTTTTAAGAAGACCAGAGTCAAATTTGTAAGTTTTTCTCCTATGTCTTCCAGTGAGATCATTCTAGTTATGCCTCATCTATCCTGCGCTTCCTTCCCAAGCAGCGGTATCCAGGGCAGGGTGCTTTTCCTTGGTCCACCACTTGGCTCTTTTGCTTGCCCTTTCTTTTAGGTCTCAGGCACTGGACCTAGCACTAGGGCCTCATGCGTGCTGGGCCAGTGCTCTGTCACGGAGCTACATTGTGGCTCTCTTAGTCCTTATTTGGACTCATGTTAGGCAAAAGTGTTGCTTTGAACTTAAGTTCTCAAGCACCCCTGCAAAAAGGATATGGGAAGACCAGGGTGAGGACCAGGGTGCCTGGGCTGGTTAAGGACCTTTCACTGTCTCCTGAGTTTCTGTCATGGCCCACCTTCTTCCTTGCTGCTCCCTGCTTTCCCTACTCAATGTGTCTGTCATTCATCCTTCAAGATTTATGCCAGATTTTTGGTAGGAATGAAGTATCTGGTTACATGGGTCACTGTACCTAAGAAACTGTGAATAAAATTGGCCAAACGAAAGGAAATGTAAACAAATTCTGGAAAGTTTTCCAGTGTAGACTGGTGGGAAGGTTTGTTGCCTGTTTCCTGTCCTGAAATGAATGAGTCCCAGCCAGTGCTGAAGCACGCCTCCTGCAGTCCTGTCTCCGAGGCAGGCCCCCAACCCTATGTTGTAACACAGTTGTTCCCTTCCATTTTTCCCTCCTCAGGCACTGCAAGTGGCAAGGCAGCTCCTTCTTCAGCAGCAACAGCAGCAGCAACAGCAGCAGCAGCAGCAGCAGCAAGTTAGTGGATTAAAATCCCCTAAGAGGAATGACAAACAGCCAGCTCTTCAGGTAATAGCCCACCACCAAAAAAAAAAAAAAAAAAAAAAAAAAAAAGACATTATTCCCTTTGGGAGAGTTGAGAAGTAGTTCAAAAGTGAAAGGTGTTGAGAATTGCAAATCATGAAAGAAAAATCTCGTAGAATGTGCATTTTTAGATTACCAACAATCTGTGATGCTTTGGGGAAAATGTCTGTTTGTCCAAACTTTTGCTGTCTGGAGTAAGAAGATCTGCTAATTACATAACATAATAGGAGAATGAGGAGTTGCCAGTGTTAGGCTGCTTAACATGAGGTGTAGAAACCAGTGGAGGGAAGTTCCTTGAGCTCAGTTACGGCATGGCATTCTCTTACATACACCTTACTTTAGGACAGTAGTGCTCAGTGGGTAATTTGAACCCCAGAGAACAAGTATGCAATTGCTAGAGAGATGTTTTTGTATTAACATGTACTAACTATACATATGAATAGCTATTAATTGTCGTGCTCTTATACTTGTATACGGTATGCATTTATTATATCCATCAACCTTCTTCTACCACACTGCCTCCTTCCCAACCCCTAGTACTCACTGTCCTACTTTCAGGTTAACTTTTTATTTTATTTAGTTTCTACAAATGAGAAAGAATAGGGAGTACTTGTCTTTTTGAGTCTGGCTAATTTCACTTAAAATAATGTCTTCCATTTCCACTGATTTTGCTGCAAAACAATAGGATTTCATTCCTCTTAATGGCTGAATAATATTCCATCCTGCGTATATAAACTACATTTATTTATCCATTCCTATTGATTGGCACCCAGGCGGATTTCATGTCCTACATAGTATGGATAGTGACACAATAAATATAGATGTACAGGTGTCTCTTTTTGTACTAATTTCATTTCCTTTGGAAGTGTACCAGGAGTCACTGAGCTGGATCTGTTTTTGGCGTCTTAAGGAAACTTCGTACTCTCCTTAGGGCCTGTACCAATTTACATTTCCACCTACTTCTGTCTCTTTTTTGGACATATTTTTAATGGTCATAACATGGGAAGAGGAGCAGGGCAGAGGTGCTGCTATATCTTGCAGGTTTGGCCAAGAGATGCTGCTGTTAACTCAACAATGTATAGGCCATTCCCACAGAACATAGCTTCATTTAAAAACCAAAATGTTAATAGTGTCAAGAACTCTTTACTGAGCTTTAGGAGGAAATGACACTTTTAATACCATACTTAGTAATGAGTATAAAACGCACCTTCTTTTCCAAAGTCTTTCCAAATCATTAAAAATGGTAAGCAATCTTTTAGAAGACAACAAAAAAGATTGTTTTAGCAACTTCTTGCCTCAGGCATAGTAAGACTAAGGAGTTAGTGGAGTAGAGGAAGCAGTGAGTTCCTAAAAATCTAATTTGGATTTTTGATTTATAGTATATTGCAATGGAAATTTCAACTCGACTGGAGATATTTATGCTCACATTTAAGATAGAGCACTTGCATGGACCAGGTAGTTCAAAATCCCTTTATAACTGAAGTTAGCATCCCCCAAAGACCAGACTAGTGATACATTGCTCACACTGGAAATTTTAAAACAGAATTCATTAATGGTAGCAAATGGGTAGAACTTGGTGCCAGTTAATTTGACTACAAAGTCAACCTAAATTCTAGCTATGTTGACCTTTCACAGGCCAGGATGAGCTAATACTAGCTTCCAGATCATTCTGCAAAGATCGATCTGACCTTGGGCAGCAAGTTCTAGTTCTTCTATATCTTCTGGGTAGCTGTCTCACTGTGAGGAAAGTTCAGCACTGCAGTCACACTTGACTGGCAAAGTTGGACAACAGTGGGCATTGTTTACAATTGCCCAATTTGGAATTGTGTACAATTCCAAAACCAGTAGTTTGGTAAACCAGGGCCAGTGTGCGTACCTTTGAATGTGTTTGAGTACAGGGGACATTTTTAATGAGGTACAGTGCCATAGAGGGCCCATGTCAGGTGCTGTAAGAAGTGCTTTGTTGTGCAGATGTCTTAAGAACAGCTCTGGAGGATGAAATATGACTGTGTTGACCTTTCAGCTGTGAGCTTATTTGTCAGGATTCAAATAAGTTGAAAGGATCAAACCGAACAGTTTCCGTAGTCAGACTGGGAATTGTGTTTCAGAGGTCAGCAGCAGAGGCCACACTGCAGATTCCATAACATAGCCAATTGTTGGTACATATTAAAGTACTGGGGCATCTCCTGCAGACAGAAATGCAATTAAAATTCTAATTTATTAATGTATACAGGGAATCAGCCCAGCCTGTCACTCAGTGATTCAAATGACTGTCCATTCTTTTTACCTCCCTCTTGAAGCTCTCACAGCCTAAAAATACTGTGAATCCTGTTGAATTGAACAGACCTCAAGTGCATTGGAAAAATGACAATATATATTATTGGGGGGAAATCTTACACATAGTAGAGCTTTGGTTAGAGATAAAAAAAAATACACACATACACAATCTGTCTGATCACATTGCTCTTCAGTATTGAATATCATTTGTGATTTTTTATACTAGACTTACTTTTCCTCATACTTGCTTTTTTAAAACATATGGCATCTTTTAGGTAACTTCTCCAAGATGAACGAAGTTCCTTTAGGGCTAAATATATGAAGTGAAGTTTCAGGGGATTTCCTTTTGAGGGCTCAGTTTTTCCTTGCCTGTTACAGAATTTTAGCCACCAAGCAGAAGAATATATGATACAGAGAGCTTCGAGTTTCTTGGCAAGGACAGTGTTGAAGGCAGCCTAACACATTCTGCTGAGTGCTTTAGTCTGTATAAAGAATAGAGGAAGAAGGGGCAGTCTTGAACCCTGATTTTGTTTAAAAAAATGTCGTAAGTCCCTTCAAACTCCTAATGATGGATAATTAGGCAGATAATTTAGCCTTACCTTAGAGTTAGCTGAGTGGGATGGGAGAGAAAAAATTAGTTGACATGTATGTGTGTGTGTCCATGTGTGTGCCTGACTTGCAAATTCAGTAATATTTATTAATTTGGCTGGCCTTCCACAAACAGAAATGAGAAATTACGAACCCAGGCCACATGGTATATTACCTCATTATAAAAAATATGTATGTAACAGTGGTGATTCACAGAAGGAGTAACCTTTACATTGAAATCTGCCTTCCATGCCGTGTCCTCACTGAGGCATCTCAGTTGGAGTGATTCTGAAATGAAAGGGAAATCCTACAGCAAATCTGAACAGTGTTCATCTCTGATCTTCTTACCCTTTATAACTACACTGAGAAACCTATTTTAGCAAATTTCAGATCTTCTGCATAGAAGAAGGCTTGACAGGGAAGAAGGATTTGATCTGCTGATAGCTTGAGGAAAAAAAAAAAAAGAAACCTAAATCCCCAAATATACTGTGGCTCGTATTTTAAGCATATCTCACACTTCCCTGCTTTATGTTTGGCAGCGCTTTCCAGTTTCACAGGCTGATGATACAAACAAAAGAAATGGAAAGTTAGAGGAGGCTCTAAGTGGTTACTCGATAGAGATCATAAACTGTAGTCAAACATCACCAATTTGGACTAATTTCAGAGAGAAGAGAATAAATAGCAGAGAAATGATGCTATTTGCAGATCCTGAACCATTCTGAACTGGTTGCATTTTTGGAGACAGTGTGGCTTATTCATGAAAAAGGCATGAATCAGGTATAGATAATGATTTCTGAAGTTCTAGAAAAATATTCTACCGAGTAACTAAATTTCCTTCTTAATCTATTAATTTGATTTGCAAATTTTTTATAAGTGATATAAACAAAAATCGAAAATTAGTCATATCCTAAATTCTGAATCTGAATGATCTGAATTAATTAAATGCAATTTTGATGAACACTTCAGAACAACTCTGGCATGCTGGGTGTTTGTGCTAGTGGTGATAGATCCAAAATCATGCAGGATATAGACCTTACCTTCAGGATGCGTATGAGTTGTAAAAGAATTAACAGGGTTTTGCTGGGGGGAAAAGTTATAGGTGGGTAAAAATAGTAGGCTCTTTTTATAAATATTTATATACTTCTGAAGATTGCTTAAACAAGTGAAATAAATGCTTAACAGTGCAGGTGTGCTCATAACCCCGAAAAGTGTAACTTTACTGGCTGAAGATTAATTTGTGAGTAGATGAGCAATTTTATTGATCAAATTTTGGAACTTTGACCACCGTTTCTGGGTAGTAATTCGTTTTGGTTCTTTAAGCATTTTAGTTGTTGGCACGAGTATATAAACTGGAAGGAAATCAAATGACACATTTTCTCCTAAGAAAGTAAAAGTACATGTGTATTCTGGCAGCCTGAACGTTAGGAAAGAAAGTAAACCTTGTGTGTTGCTTACAGTGGAAAGCTGACCACAGTTTCAGTCCGCTGTCTGTAAAGAATTTGAATTTGAAGCCAGTCATCTGAACGTTTTCCCTCCTGTCTGTCCCCTTCCATCCAAGGTTAGGTCATATGCAAGCCCCCAGCTCAGAAGGCCACTTCATTGGGGGGACCCATAGTGAAACCCACTGGAAGATCAGCCTTTTCTTCTGTTTGGAAGCTAGCACTATAATGATGACTCCTGCTTTAAATGGAGGAGGTTAAAATACAAGATTCAGCAGGTGTTTTTTAGCATTTTTATTTGCAGTTATATAAAACGTGCTTTAGGCAGCATTTTTGCACTGCATTAATGCCACATATAATCTTAGTACCTCATATCATTTCCACGTTTATTCACTAAGGAATAAATTGCTGAGAGGAAACCTTTAAAAGAAACTACAGTTTTATATTGTAGGTAGTGAATGGTTTTGAAATACTGACCCTTAAAGTATACCAGCATGTACTGAATTAGTAAGGTAGGTAATTCAGGGAAGGGAGGCAAAAATGTTTTTAAAAAATTATGTAGAGTTAACATTGTAGACAGTTTGCATCTCTGACATTTAGAATGATAAAATTGAAATTTTGATTTTTGTTAAGATGTCATGGTTATCATACAACTTTAGAGAATCCCAAGACCCTAAAAAT